CTCTAACTGGAAACAATAGTAATTTAGCCGACGGTTTTTTGGGGAGACTGCATAACCGGATAAGAGAGATAAACGATTCACAAAATCAGCTCATGTTCAGTCACCTCGGTGAATATATGTACAGAAACTAGTCTAACTTAGTAACTTGTACTCTTTATTATAACTGGGATGTATTTTTAAGTCATGTCAGAGGAAGATACCCTGTCTGATGTGTTTTTATGCATTTTTTTTTGTAAATATACGTTATTTTTGTTCAAAAATTCCTCATTTTTATGATTGGTCGGCTGAAGGTCGCATCCCTTGGGACGCTATTGTTGAACTCTGCCTAGACCAGTCATCATCATCGATGTCGCAGAAGACGTTCGTTCATATGCTTGAATTACTTAGTTTAATACTGAATAGATCAAAACACTGATTGCAACAGAAAAACTGTGCTTGGAAAAACCCTCCTGGACGATCTAATTACAATTGCTGATACTTATTTCGGTATTTCAACTAACTTTGTAATCCTTCTCCTCTTTTCTCCCAAGCTTGTATATCATTGTTCTAAAGTTTGCATATTGACTTAGTCCTTATTATTTTTCTTTGTTCTTGTGTAACTCTTAATTTAAACGCTTCTCTTTGCGCGTATGTGATGGCAGTATTGATGATGTGTTGTTGTTTCACAATTGTGGTTTTGTTCGAATAAGGTCAGTCAAGGTTAATCGTGTGGATTTTGACCTTGGGCTTTATGCAAGAAGTGTTCAGTGTGTGATTCTTGATCCAACCATGCTGGGAATATATTCTTCTTGATTCTCTGGTACTTCTTACGGTTGGTTTAGGTTAAACAATTATTTTGTATATGTATTTGACGGGGTTCTGTATCCGTACAGGTGTCTAGCGCCATTGGTGAGGCAATTACAAGTTTTGATATGTTATTATTGTTAAGTAGTGACCACAGATTTTTTTTGATTTACAGCTTGATTCCACACTGTATTTTTGGTACAAGTATGGAATTTTCAGCATGGATATCGGTAGCCCAAATTTTGCAGGCCGACCATAGCATAGATATCAGGTGTGCGTCGGCGGGGGTTCGAACCTCGGACCATGTGCATGGTCGGCGAAAGTCCTAAGCACCGTGCCACCGTGCGTCGGTGGCACGGTGCTTATCACTGTCACTGTGACATTTTCGGACTGTGCATAACTCAACGAAATTTCGGTTAGCCATACACCAGAGAAAGCAATAATTGGTCTCCTCGTGTTCAGACCACAACACATCGATTTTGGTCGCTAGGCTGATTTCATTTTCTTATCTTCATACCATGGAAACAATGCATAGTTCCCTTGCCTTATTCATAATGCTGATATGTATGTAGGAAAGTGATAGAAACAACTCTAAAAATATGCTCAACTAAGGCATGACTACCAGTAGTAAGCAAGCAAGTAGTAACTGTAGGTGACTCCGTGATCCCAAACTGTATGTGAATGAGTAATAAGTATGAAATTTTAAATACAGTATGAAGAATATATTCCCATCAAAAACTTTTAATAGCCTAGAATTCCTTTCAACCGTCTTCATTGAGGATAACAAGTTCATCTTTTAAATGATACAAAAAAACTTTAAATTTCTTCTTTTAAGCATCTTAACCACTAAAAGTTATATTATAAAAGCATCTTATGAATCATAAATTACATTAACAACATAGATTTGATATACTAACGAACTAAATCATTAAATACCGCACGTCTATGTGAAAAGAAATAACTGAACAAAGATAAATTATATTATGCAACAATGTGTGTAATCTAGACGAAATATATTGCAAACTGAATTTTTATCATATATTTATTTTATCGTGAACATACTACTAATAAGGTAATGTGCTCCTCGATTGTACATTGGTGAGTGTCCCCGTCTGTCACGTGGAAGGCCCGGGTTCAATTCCCGGTCGAGGAGCTAGATTTTGTGCGTCGGTGGCATGGCGGTTAGGACACTCGCCAACCATGAACATGGTCCGGGGTTCGATTCCCAGCCGACGCACTCCCAAACCTCGCTAAGCCAGTAATAACACTGGTAAAGAGGAAAGGTTGGGCATGAGGCTAGCAACCTCATCCCGTAAAAAAATGAACAGCACTGCAACCGAAACTTCAGGCCTCTAGCTTGAAGGTCTATGTTCCACTGGAAACGTGAGAGAATAAAAACAAACAAACAAGGGAATATGTGAGTCAGTAATGTCCACCATTAGTTGTAACTCTCTAGTCGGATAGAGAGATGATTTTCACCATGACAACGACTGTTTCGTTTGTCTGAAATCAAATGCATCCAAACTGAATCATTTAACACGAATAAATTCTTCGAAACAGTAAAGAAGTCAGTTCAAATAGACAAAATTGTGCTAGCTAGAATCCATAATAAAGGATTGCAAGATTCTCAGACAATGATGAAACTTAAGAGTGATTTCCTTTGAAGACTCAACAGTCCATATTACAAATAAGGATGACGTTTACAATACATACATACATAGTATCAATTAAAGTGAGCATACAGACCACTCTTATTAGTCAATGGGGTTCGGTACTACACACCCTGCAGTTCTAATGGATGGATAACACACGCTGTTGTTATCATCATAGTATAAAAGGTAAGTCTAGTTATTTAAAAAAAAACCAATAGAGTTGGAAAGATATCCTTGGTATTTCTAAAGCTATGATAAGATAAAGTAATATACGACAGACAGCACAAAACAGAGCTTGGAGCTTACACAACATGTTTCTCAACAACTTTTCAGTTTACACAGGTAAAAGTAGATTCGGTTGAGTTAAACTGATGTAGTACTGTGAGCTAAGTCAAACTTGATACATCTCAAATAGTTTTCTGATGTTTATATCACTCCTCTTTCTACAGCAGGCAACCATCGAGTACTACTGGTTAGTGTGAGTGGTATCCAACCGGTTATACCAATCAATCAATCAGTAGAATATGACATCATGGTTTTCAACAATTATGAAGAATTTCAGTTCTCAGACTTTTACCACAAACCAACATCAGTTAGAGATAAACGATAATCTGAAAGTGATGAACAGCCGTTTCGTCCTGCTTTCGGACTCTTCAAAAGTTCACGCCCATGATCCAGCCAAGGATCGAGCTCGAGACATCCAGGTTACGAAACCAAGCTCATCGACAATTCAATCCACTTAGGTAGGAATTCAATGACCGGTAAATCCTAACTTAGACAACTCTTAATATAGAGCTGTTCTCACGTCAATGCCTTCACCATGATATGATGGATCGCACTGATGATGACTGAGTACTGCCGCTTCAGGAAGAGTCCCAAAGTAGAACAAAACAGCTGTCCAATGCTCCTTGGTTTCTAATGATCTCTCCTCCTCTTTAACTGATGTAGGTTCATGTCGAAAATCTAAGAGTAGAAATTAATCGAAAATCCCAACAAATCCTGTAACCTGAAGTATGAAAAACCAATAGGATGTTAGCAGAAAGATAAATAACGAACACATAAACACAGTTCAATAAGAAAATATCTAATCTAGAACCAGCAAACAAAGCAATAACAATAAAGCATTTTGTTAATGTCAAGGGTCACGTTCAAATAGGCAAGATGTTCAATCCAAATACATACTACATATGACCTAATAAAAGTTAAGGTTAGTAAGGTCAACATACAGTGAGGAAAATCATCCAGATATATAACTCTTGAAATCGATGAAAATCCTCTACTACCTTTGAAAATGTCAGAGATCACAAGTAAATATCACTATTTCAAATAGCCTTATTCAGATAATATAAACCTTAACCACACTCCAATGAAAATACTAAACCACTAAATTAACCGTAGCATTTAAAAAATTAAAAATATATGAAACAGTGCCGCCAATCAACAACAGTTGAGTCAAAAGTAGGACAATGTTACAGGAATATAGACATACAGTGTAGTTTATTGTACAGCTTATAAAGCCTGTATTATGGTGAAAGTCAATTCCACATAAATACAACAAAATGGTTCTATAGTAAAATTAAAACAAATCCAACTACTGGAAAGAAATCAGTGAAAGTCCAGAATAATGAAAGCTCCGCAGTGTATTCCATCATATAGTGAATTTATTTGATAAAGTCTCACAGTGTTATAGAGTATTATTTACTGATGACGTTTCGAGCACAATCTATTACTGCTCATAATCATGCCCACAATGGAATATTTAAACGATGAAAAGAATTGTTAACATATCACAAGGCAAATCCGGTGCACATCCAATTGAACAAATCTGTCTGTAATTATTTCCTTGGAATGATAACTTATTATTATTTCCTTTAATTCCTAGAGGAACATAGGGCTTCAGCCTCATGTCTCCATTGCGTTCGGTTCTCTGCCAACGTTTTCACATGGCTCCACATCTGCCCACAGGCTTTCATCTCCTCCTCTTCACATGACCTCCTCCAAGTCACTCTTGGACGACCAACTTGCTTCTTCTCGTTCGGGTTCCCCTCGTCAGCCTGTCTAGTGATGTCACTTGATAGTTTCCTCAGAGTATGGCGAATCCATCTCCATTTCTTCCAGCATATTTGTTGCACAATGGGTTCCTGCTTGGTTGATTCGCTCATTTCCAGAGATCCCAGTTGCTTATCTTTTCTGGTCACCTGATCTTGAGTATTGAGCGAAGACGGCTGGTAATGAAGGTCTGTAGTTTGTAGTTTGGGATGATAACTAACTGCTTTATTTTAAGTTATTTAAATTAATCCCAGCGTATTTAAGAAGAAAAAAATCAAAACACCCGTTTAACTCAAATACACTTCATAAAGAATAGCTGAACAACATTGTAGTACCTTGTTTTCACAATTAACACAAGGCATAACAAAAACAGAAGTGAAGTCATAACAGATGATGTTCCATTCATGGATATATATATATATATATTATTTCAAACCCAGATTACTGAAAGCAACTTATAAATAACTGATTGATTAAAATTAAAATCACTAAAATATAATCGATTAAACAACTTACTGGTTTAAGAATGCGAATAAATATCTCATCACGACAAACACCGGTCGACTTAAGTTTTGAGTAATAACATGGCGCAAACGTTGAATCATTTCATTTAATTCTAAACCTACAAAGATGGAAATTAAAACAATAAGATATAGTACACTGACGAGTAAATGGTCTCAATTTAAATTCAAAATAACTTAGTCTTTAAAAAAGGTTATTTATCTTAACAAAAAACAAACAAACTATACACTGTGAAACAATTAGCTCAATGTTATACTAAAGGTGAACACATAGAGTTCAGTATGTCAGTGTTCAGAAGTAAAGTGGTAACAGATGTTCCATTAATGAATATATTAATTAAAACACAGAATACTGGAAGCAAGGAGACGATTAATAAATTTTATCAATTTGAATGGTGTAACAAAACTTGTCAAAATAAGGAAGATCCACTAGAGTACAGTATGCTCCCCCATAAACGACCTGGTACGGATGAGGATGGCTGAACTTTGTGGTCTTCCTCTCGAAATGCTATCATGTGATCTGCCCAGTAATTCCTATTCACTGAAGGAGCGAATACGAATGCCTGGAGCTTATAATTGGTCTGGTGAACATGCATGCAGGTCAACCTAGGCGAGCTGGAAAACTCTGATTCAAAACGTACGGTGTACATGGGCTTCAGAATCCCAATAGATTGAATGGTGTGTGAACCTGCTTTGGTCGCCAGAAACCATGAGAGTGTGCCTCCTGACTCTTCCCCACTGGATTGTGGACCAGACTTCAAGTGGTTCTCTTATGACAAGCAGCTGTTTTGGTCTCGGGGTATGAGTAGTATTGCAGCCATAGCACAAACTGAGTTCCCGTGTGGCGCACAATGTACGACGTCTTTGTATTCGTAATAACACAATACACCCAAGTACTCATAAGTGAAAACCAGTCAGAAAAGCCTTGAAATAATTAGTATTTATACGAGAAATAATTGGCTCACATAATAAATTTAAGTGCACAAAAAAGGTGACAGCATGTATGTATATCAGTTAAAAATGCTAGTTACATAACTAGCATAATTAGAATAGATTCCAAGTACCAAATTACAACGTGGCAACTAGGTTTAAATCATAAACAAAAATTCGATAGAATGTGATGAGTTACAGGATTTCACCACGTGCTGACATCGGTTAGAAAACCACCGAAAAACCCACAGGGAGTACTGCTGGACACCTAACTGTTTAGTCCTAGTTTGGGGGCTGTTCATCGGTTCACACCCACTGGAGTTAGAACACAGAACCTTCCGGTTACAAGGAGAGCTCACGGACTATTAAGCCACTATAACACGACCCAATGGTCCATGAATTCCACCTTCTGCCAATTCACTATAGAGCGCGACCACTAACCAGAGTCATTCACGGCGAGTATTTGTCCTCACACCCGACCTGCTGTACCCCAATAGTCACGACTTCCTGTAATCAATCAAATCCCCGCAAACCAACACTAGGAAGTGATAAATTTAGCCTTCTGATGATCAACATAATTCAACTGGAAGGAAAGTAAGAGGAAAATTCTCCTAAAAACGACTTGTTAAATTTTCTTGGAATAGTATTTAACTAGTTATCTAAGCTATCACAACCATCCATATGGATAGCTTGATCATTTTTTAAACAAACAAACAAACAAGGTGTACATAATAAAATTTAACCAAAGAAAAATAACAGATAATAATCTATCTTCAGACATAACACATAATTAAAACAGAGCAAAATAATAAATGCAGCTTGTAAAATATATGTTCTACATACAAAAAACAAGCATTTTTCGATTAAAGTCGAAAAGATGTATCGCCTATGAAAAACCACTCTTTCGTTACTAATTATAATGACCACACAAGATGATGTATATGTACATATCAAGTAAAGAGAAATAAAACGAAGTTAAAATACATAAAAACATCTATAAAATGTGAAAATTTCAAATATTTGGGATCTAAAAACAAAAAATGAATCCATTCAAACCACGATGACTGACTGAATTTCAACACAGAAATATGGATAGAAGTGTAGCAGTTCAAGTTGCCACACTGCATATATCACACAAAGGAAGACATGTACCGTGGAAAAATATTAGTGTTATGTCAGAAAATAAAGGGTGAATGCATCTGCGTCATCTGTTTGTCTGTCTGTTTTCGACATAGAACTTTGCATCGATGTGCGTTAGTTCAAGTCGCCATACTCCCTCCTTCTACCACACAAAGCAAGACAAGAAAGTAGAAGAAATGCATAATAGAGACAGTAAACAGAGGTGGGAGACAAAGGAATAGTAGTAACGAAGAAGGGTATAGTTTCATTAGAATTCATAAGTCACAGGGAGTGGATGCATCTACACCCACCATCGAGAACGATTTGAAGCCATATCACCAATTGTTTCCAACCATTGATTTTTACCGTCCTGAGGACCCTGACCAGGAAGCCAGTCTATACCTTCCTATGTAGCTTAGACTGTTGTAGATTTCATTGACTGGCGAGGTTATGTTTTGGTTTGACTGCCGCTAGCTCCTTTCCAGCCTGACCAATCCTATGTCAGCTTACATTGCCCGTATGTCAAGGAAGGCGATGACTAGGCTGGAATACGTAACACATGTCCTAACCATCTCAGTCGATGTAATTTCACAGCCTCGTCGATCGATTTCCCCTCCTTACCTAGAACTCGACCGATGCCTAACCTCAACATTGCTCACCTTATTATACCACTTCACACGAGAGAGCAGGCACCTACGATCAAAGACAGCTAATTTTTCATCATATCTTCGACCAGCTTCAACCACTGGTTCTTAGAATCCTGAGGAGCCCAACCAGGCAGTCTATACTTCGTAGCTTAGACTAACTGTCAACGATTTCATGGGCTAATTCCAAGTTTTGGTTTGACCACTTCTAACTCTCATCCAACTTGGTCCTATGTCAACTAACATTTCTCATCGAGGAAGAGGCATTGGATAGGCATGCACAGCACATGTCCTAGCCATCTCAGTTGACTCTTATTCACAAACTCATCGATCGACTTACTCTCCTTATCTAAAACTCTACTACTCATAAACAAAGTATTACTCCCCATTGGATACCACTTAACCCGACAGACACAACGTAAACCACGATGAATAACTCTAGGATACGTCATCGAACGTGAAACAAGTCATTGCTACCTATGATTTCTTAAATTGGTCGTAGTAAGTTATATATTTCATGGATCACTGCAACTCTACTGTCACCTAATATAATTTTGCACCTCTGGAAGCTGTTAGTTGAGAAAGACAATGCTGTTGATTAGCGTATCTTCCTTATTTAGCACACAATATATATTAATCTGAATAAAATAGGCATTGCGTACGGTATAATAAGCAAAACAGAACAAGTTTAGTGAATTGTATCATCTTGAGAAAGAATAAGATAAGATTTGATAAAATGAACATGTTCTATCTCACTATTTCACATAGAATAGACGGAGAAATCACAGATGAAATATTATACACTAAGCATGTAACTTCATCGTCTTGACCTAACTTAGTTTCTAATTGGTGGATAGTGACTAGCAGTGGAATCTAGGATAAGGCACATTTCGTCCTATTTGGGACTCGTCAACTGAATGTACCTGGATGTACATTATCACTCACTGGGGAATGCTGGTACATCCAGCCAGATGACAAGTCCCAGATGGGACGAAATGCGTTTTACCCTGGATTCCACTGCTAGTCACCATCCACCAATTAGATTTTAATTACATGCCCAGACATCGTGGAAGCATTTGCATAAGAAGCCGACATGTCAACCTGAGACTGAACATTTCGGTCCAATCAGTCGACGGGAAAATCTAAAATTCAATTAAACAACTAACTTCGTTTCATTTTTCTTAATGGGGATGTCTTTATCATTTCTAAAGAACATTAATAGTATGACTCAGTAGTTGCGTTATGTAAAAGCAAAGAAAACGCTAACTGATTTTCATCCTTGAAAAGTAATACCCTTGATAGGCAGAAGAATGAATGAATATTCCAATAGACTGCATACACACTTCAACACTTTGAAAAACTACATCATGAAATCATACGTCAGATAGCAAGAATACTCAAATCATGCAACCAACATTGATAAAATAAGCCTAATAATAACTATTACGATTGTTTTCAACTAGCGAAGCTAAAGAAAGGACTAACTGTATTAGTATATTATGATATAATAATAAATTAATACCGACAGATATGAATAATTTTCAAGTATTGGTTTTGTAGGGATTTTTGTTTAATTGTATAGAGGATATCATCATGAGCTGACATCAGTTAGAGAACCATTGGAAAACCTGGGAGTACTGGACAACCAGCTGTTTCGTCCTAGTTTGGGGTTCTTCATCAGTCCGCACCCACCACTACGGTTCGAACCCAGGACATTCTGGTTAAAAGGTGAACTAGGTCGTAGACCATTGAGCCACCGGGACCCAATCCGATGGTTCTTGAATTCTAACTTATGCCAATTCACGACACAGCGCGACCGTTTCGCAATGTCTTCTTCGATGAGTTACTGCCTCATCTTCGACCTGCTGTACCCTTCTGGTCACGGATAACTACGATTGAGAAATGAAACAACCCCCCTCACACATATTCCAGAGAAGAAAATTCCCTCTCCTCCCACTGATTAATGTATAAACACGATTGCACAATTATGAGGATGAAATAGTTAAGAAAAGGGGGATCTTTGTTTCAAGTATAGATCAAAGCAAGGTAGAATATTTGTCAGTCAACATAAAAGTGTAACACATTGATTGATAGCTACCTTGGTTCATGCTGTTCATACTACAATGAGATAGTATGAAAACTAGCCACTCATATCAAGTCAACATTTACATCAATGAGGAATTTCATCTAAAGCATGGTGAGGTTATCATTATTTGCATTATTGTTTCCTTCGGTTCCTAGAGAAACATAGGGCTTCAGCCTCATGTCTCCATTACGTTCGGTTGTCTGTCAACGTTTTCACATGGCTCCAAGTCTGCCCACAGGCTTTCATCTCCTCCTCTTCACATGATCTCCTTCAAGTCACCCTTGGACGACCAACTCGCCTCTTCTCGTTCGGGTTCCATTTG